ATGACTTGCGAGCTTGCAACGCAGAACGTTGCAGAACATGCGCTCCACCAACTGAGGGCAGAGGTGAGAGAGGAAAACTGGAATACAATGCTCAGCCGCTTTTACGAGGAGCCGCACGAAGCAAGCTGGGCAAATTATGACGACCTGACCCGACCTTTCCCTAAATATTGGCTTATTTTCATCAGGATTTCAAGTAGTCATAGAATGGCCAGGGCAAGGGGCCGGCAACGACTAACAGGGGTTTGGCAGATGCCATCCAGCCCGTAAGCCTTCATTTGCAAGATCAACGACCTAGCGCCTAACATCTGCTAGTCACAACACCGTCAAGACATCATCACGTTGTCACCAGGAGGGTGACGACAATATCGTGGACACGCTGCTAGATAGCTTCCTGCAGCAAAAAGGCTCTTGGGAATGCATCCGTTATTCGGACTTCTAGTATTCTAGTCTGCCATGACCGATGCCTTCGCCGCTTTGCCAAGGCGACGTTGGGAGCATGATCGCGACTTGGACGTGCCAGGTACTACATGGTTCATTGATTAAAAAGCCGCAGGCTATGCTTGAGAAAGTGTGCAAACGGCGCTTGAAGCCTCAACCCAGACTTGTGCCGAGGAAGAGATCGACCGTCGCACAGCTCTCCAAAAGAAAAGCCACGACACTTGGAACTTGCTCCTTGGCTGGTCATTGTACATTTGGGGGGGGGGGGGCAGGGTTGTAGGAAGCTTTTCATTTGCAGTTGGGGTTGTGTTAACTAACAGGCTATGGACGGATGCCAAAAGGGCCAGTATAGTTGCCAGTCTCATCTTGTGGGTCCACAGGACAGTGGGAGAGTTTGGTGATCTTGGTGAAGGGGGGCACAAGGGGAGGGTGCCTGTCGGGCTTGGTCTGTATTCGTCCGCAACAGTCGTTCATGAGCTTAACATGCATGAACGCGAACTAGTTTCTAGCGGAGACAGGGACAGCCATGGCATAGCGGCATAATTATGTGGGATTCAGTACGCACACGACGTGCACGTGTACCTTCTGTCAAGCAGGCGCTTGGACATTGGGCAGGGTCAGCTTCCGAACTTGGACAAGCTGGAGGCCTGGGTGGGAGTGTGATTTGCATGCCGTACTGGCCTGAGCTTGCGCAAGAGATCCTGTGAGGAAGTTTTGCAGGGCGCCACTGCGCTGCTCAGCGCACGAAGCTGCCGCAGCCCAAACCCTGGTGGGCTGTTTATCTTCAAGCATCTTCAAGCATCATTTGTAAAGGCTCCGGTTGATTTCATATTGCTACGGGCTTCCAGGCCATTGCTCTGCCGGCTCTTCGCGTGCCTTCGCGGACTCTATGCCAACTACTGCCTCTCGGACGTAATTACTGTGGCCACAATGGGCCTCTTTAAACACGGAAGTTGCAGCACCCCGGCAAAGCTATGCACAACAACCGATTGCCATCACGTTAGTTCAAGAGTTGATGGTGATCAACGCACGTAATGTTACCATGACAATAGCCGCCCCCCAGGACTTGTTTTGCGTTTTTGGTTTACGGGGGGGGGGGGGGTCGCAATAATTAACCAAGGGGTTGGGGCAGGACCAGGTAGTGCAGCTCGTAATATTCAAAACTTGTAGGACAAGTAGAGGGGAAACTATTGGAATCGGGAAATTTTCGGACGGACAAGGTTATTATTGCCACCCCCTTGCTATTAGCGATGGACATGGTTTAGACCTTTTCGGGTTTGTTAGAAAGCAATTTTGATTGTCCGAGATTTTTCTGGCTCGGCAAGAATATATTAATGCCACCCCCTTTATTAATGCAATGGTTACATCAAATGCCTGGCTTTTGGGCTTCCACGCTGCTTTCGAGACAGGCGGGGACCGTGGATCACGCGACAGGCAGGGTCTCTCGACTAAGGGATGCGCTAAAGAGGGCAGGCATTGATTATGATGCCAGCGTGACTGAGCTGCTTTGAGAAGCTACGCTGGGGCGACATGGAAGGCCATTTTCAATCTTGTTTCTTAGGCATGCGCTGACTTGAATGTGTTGAGTTTTTCAACATGAGATGACCTGGCACCTCGCAAATAGTCAGATAGGTGTTGAAACAGGTTCGAATCCATTTTCTATTCCTGTCTGCAGGCAGGGCTGGCCGGCTGTCCGACCTGGTCGTCGAAGATGCCGCTTCGGATTCGGAGTGCAGCCGGCGATGAGTTGCGGCCTGCAGTGCAGTGCTGCTCTTCTAGTCTGATGCTTGAAGGCTTCCCTTTCATGACAGGCCAGAAGCAAATGAGCCCTCCAAGGCTCCTGCAACAGTGTAACAGGGGATCGTAGTCGTAGCCTGCCGTAGCCACGAAGTCTCATTAGCAAGTGCACAGGTGACATACCCGCAGACCTTCCTGTTGTTGCACAGGCCTCCATCAACCCAATGATTTTCAATCCCAAAGAGGAGCTCTTGGCTAAGATTGCCACGGCCTCGAATACAGCAGCTTTCAGATTTGTATGACCAAGCCAGGGCTTGGATTTGCAACACTTCAATTCAAAAGCGGCGAAACTGTCTGAAGCAGCGCAAAAGCCAGACATGACTTAACCGACAATTATGCCAGTCCTTGAATCTGTTGGTGTTTCACTTGTTCCTTGACTGCTATGACGCCATGACTTGTACTCGCACCCTGTGAAGAAAGGATTTGCAAATATTTGTTGTGCGCGTTTGTGTGCTGACTGCAGGCATCTACCGACTCTCCGGAGGAGATTCGGAGTTTCATGCGAAGCTTCTTGCTGAGTTACTTGGCCTGGAGTATGGCAATTTCCTGGATCTCTTCGGGTAGACTGCTGCAGCATGACACCGTAAACATGTCCATGAAACTTGGGGACGGCTGCTGCCACGACAGACAGTCCTTGCTGTCCTTGGCTTGCACTCATGAGGTCTCAGACATAGCTCCTTGGCAGTATGAGGTTTTTGGCCTGTGCGCACGTAGTGTGCCTGTCTGAACTTGCATTAACTGTACAGTCTGGACAGTCCGGAGCAACATCTACGCTTTCAAGAGCTCCAAACTTTACCAAAGAGGGTTCGGCCATGAGCCATCCTAGGTGTGCTCATGAGCGCGGTCGAGCGTGACGCTGCATCCGAGGCGGTTGGGCATGGAGTAAATTCTGAAGTACTGCTCCACGGTGCTAGATGTGCCATTGATATGGCTTCTGCTCATCCGGGACGCGTTTGAAATCGTTTGAATATATCTACTTCGGTCGTATCTTTAATTTCGAGCTGCTGCGGATGCACACTTTCTTTCCACTACGCTGCAGGACGATGTGCAGAGCTTGAGCTCCGCAGGCCGACTCGCAAGAAATCAGCAGGTGTGAAATTCAGGAAAGGCTCTAACTAGAGTATGCAGATACAACAGTGTGTGGAATCGCTCAAGTAAACTGGAAAGCAGCAGTGACAGCCTCAAATCGGGCATCCATTTGACTAAGCAATGAAGCTGCGCCAAGGCTGGACATGCCGCAGCATGAGCTCCGCAGCCGCATTAAAAAAGCATCAACGAATCAACAAGGGAAGGAAGCATTCACGTCCTCAAATGTCCTCAAGCAGTTCCTCTTTCAGCATCTTCTCCGAGGCAGAAGTGGTTCGGAGGTCTTTGACTAAGCCACGGAGTGCACATGGATGCACGTGGCGCCATGCAGCGGTGCCCGCTTTGGGCATGCTCATGGACCAGAATTCAGGCATTCCATGAGTTGCATGGCCGTTTGAAGCTAGCGGTTGGGGTTGATGCTGCTTCTGTTATGATCCAAAACAGCTGCAATGTACACTACTAAGTACACTCTACGCTTTAGCTCGCGGCCACCTCTTGGCTACCGTGCAAGCCCAGCACCCTGCAGTTGACAATGGGTGGAGGTGCCGTTTTTGTGTCTCTGACACGTGTGCCTGATGCACAGAAGCTATGATGCCGAGCCACGTGGAGTTGCCCTCCTGGAACTGGTCGAGTGGCTTGCTGCTTTGTGTGCGTCGTCGTCCTTCTCCATTCCAAACTGTACTGTAGGACCCTTTCGACGCTGCATGGGACTTTATTCTGATTCTATTCTAAGTTGTCTAGCTGCTTGACATGGCTAGATTGTGCCGCAAGCCACTCAGCGCGGGGGGCGGCAGGTTTGAGACAATGGAATCTGGTCTTCCAGATGTCGGGGCTCGTAGGGTCCATTACTGGAAGACCTCCAGACCCGCCATCTGAGGGCCGGCGCAGCGACCATCGAGTCACACAGAGTGACATGGTTGACAGCTATGTAGCATGGAAACTGGGAAGCTTGAATAAGATTGCAAGAGCACGTCCGATTAATGGAAGTGGAACTAGAACTAGAATTCAGCAGGCGGCATCAAGCAGTTGTAGCTGTCCCTTAGGCTGCCTCCACATCATAGTAAGCCAACAGAGGTTACGGTGACGTTACCCTTTGGCGCCGTGGATGCTGCCAAGCCTAGCCTGCCTCAGCACGAAGCTTTTGACAAGAATGACGCATGGATGCTGCTATCATGTTTAAATCATTATCCGGATCCTGGCGTCCTGTCCGACTCTTTGAGATTCTGACAGCCGCCGTGTCGTGACATTTGGACGCTGCGTCTGTGTATTTGTGCATGAGACCAAGAGCTTACAGCTGTCGAAGTCCACCGCGAACGCGGACGACGCTCTATCCCCCATTCCTCATTCATGCTACTAACAGCTTGCGAGAAGCGCTACAGCATCCATACGATTGCTGAATCAGTTGGGCATAGAAAGCAAGCCAATTGCAAGAACCGAGTAAAGGGCAGAGAGAGGGCTCCTCCAAGTGCTACACTTTTGCACCCGGCATGGACGCACGTTTTTCCCCTCCCCATGAGGCAATCTAATATGACATGTGAATTCAGAGGTTGCTTGAGATCTGGGAACATGCGAAGAAAAGTCTGCAACCGCTTGCGCCGATTCAGAAACAAGTTTGTGTGCGGCTTTTCGGTCTGCACATACATGGCTTAGACAAAGTGCTTGGCCTCTGGCGAGCTCAGGCCAGGCCTATCCTGGACAGCAAAAGCACCGCGTGCGCCTTAACGGCTGCTAGCAAAAGGTGCTCCAAGGGGCAATGTGGGCAGATACTGCTTGCAGCGCCACATGCAAAATTCAGCAGATGTAAACATTGTTCGCCTTATCCCCTGATTCCCCCGCTAAGCCAACTGTGCAGAGGCCTCCCATGCCCAAAATGCCGGCCTTCCTGGCAAAGGATGGTCAGGAGTCGTGCTGGGCAGCAGGTATTGGAAAGGGACCATAAAGGGCTGTTGGAGAGATGCATCTTGCGCTGGGCTTCGCGAGAGAGCAAGACTTCCACTAAGGTAGCTTCAGGCCTAGGAGCTTTGGGAACAACATGCTGCGATGGCGCTGCTGTGCACAAGAGTGCCTGCGTGCATTCGAATTCAAATCAAGGCGGCTGACCTGTTATTGATGGTAGTTTCCACAATATGGCCTTGGAATGTAAGGTCTGCAATATAGCCTGTGTTCCGCTTGAAAGGCGTGAATGCCTGCTGTGTGCAGGAGGGAGACGCGCCAGGACATGCGGCATCCCTGGGCCCTGCAGCAGCAAAGAGCCTCGGCAAGCATTGTGTCGGGGATACAGAAACGCAAGCTCAAGCCTTTCAGCTTGAGTCCGTTGCAGAAGATGCAACTTGCCTCAGCAGAGAACTCGAACCAAGGATCCCTGCTGTCCCTGTACCCGAGCCGGCCACAGTGCCCGCAGCAGAACCAGCTGCAGATCCTTCTGCAGCTGCAGAGGCTCCAGCCGCTGCCACGCCGGACCCAAAGTCCTTGTCCCCGCACTCTGAGGCAGTAGCGAGTTTAAGCAACAGCCTAAATGTAGTACTGTACTTCAGTCTTAAGTCACATATTGATGACAATTGATGTGGAATGTTGTACTTCTTTGTACTCAGCCTCGGAAAGCAACATGCATTTACCGAAAATGTGTTCTGAGCACGAGGCACTGTTAGCTTGTGCATGCTTGTGCGACTTCTTGCATTCCAGAGCTGCTCGCTGACAAGATTTGATGCCCTATGTCGTTAGATTTATGTGCGGGGCTGAGGTCTTACTGGACAGAGGTTCGGACAGACGAAGGCAGCAAATCAATTTCGTCCAGGGAACTCTGAGCGGATTTCTTTGAACTCTAGATTGCTAGGTCGTGGGGTCAGGGCATTCCAGTTGCTGCATTGCAGTTTGGCTTGCGTCAGCTTGTGAAGCTGTTGTCTAGTGAATTTTGGTATCGATGCAAGTCAGAAATTGTTGGGCTGGCCATGGCAGGCGACATTTATTATCACAATGAAGAAACAGATGAGACGGCATGGGAGCTTCCTCCCGGGGGTGCGGCACCAGCCTTAGTCGCTTCGGTAGTTGCGGGCCAAATATGCAAAGTGAGCGCGGCAGAAAGCATCCATTTCCGTCCTATGCGGAAGGTCCGGAAGCCTGGGGAGGAGGCCCCTGCAGAGCCGATGCCAGCCACGTCACAACCGACTCCGGCACAACCTGCTGCGGCACAACCTGCTGCGGCACAGCCTGCTGCGGCACAGCCTGCAGCTGCGCAGACGCAGCCAGCAGTGCAGCAAACGCACCTTGGACAACTTGAAGACCAGTGTCGTTTTTCACATGTGTGTTGCGCTTGCGCATGTCAAGCCAATCAATAGCAAGATTGCAGTTCTTGAGGCTGCGGGTCTGGGTGCGCATGCCGTAAAGAGAGCAGGAGTTTGTAGGTCTGGCATCCAGGCAAATGTTGGCAGAGAAACTTTGTGCACTTATTCAACACTGCCGAGTGCCAAGGCATGTTGGCACCGATGCTCTGCCTGTTCCGGACCGCGGTTTTCATGCTGAGCCACTAATAATGGTAGCTTGAACCTGCGAAATTTGCACCACCGCCTGCTTCATACCAGGGTTCCATAGCATTCTTAAGACGCCACGAGAAGTGACAGATTTCAGAATCTTAGCAAAGTGCTGCAGAGAAACAAGGTTGTTGCTTGAATCTCGGCATCCTGCAATCAAAAGAGCTCCGACTGCACCGGTTCCGTGGGAAGTCGCTTAGAAGAGCATGTGCTTCCCATGCTGTTCTGGCAAGGAGGCCCTGAAATGTCCTTTGTGCCACGACTACCTGGACCAGGTGCCCCAGCAACATCCAGCAATGCAGCCGCGGCGAGAATTATGTTATGACTGGCAGAGAGCATGAGAAGACGTTCACGAGTCCAGGAGATGTGCGGCAGCTCAAAACATTACTAGCTTTCGGTTTTTTGACAGCGAGACTACTCACATGAAAGCCATTGCAAACATGGAGGTTTATCCGGGCAAGTTTGAAATAGAAATCACGCATTGAACCATCTTCAACGGTAGCCGGATGTAGCTAAGCTAAAGAACCCGCCACAGGCAGTCCTGGTCGTATGTTGCGGCGCCAACTTCTGTCCGAGCCCAACCGTCACAGTGGCAAGCAGCCAACAATGTGGCCGTTGTGTTCCGGATACTCCGGCTACTGTAAGTCGGCAAGACAACATGGCCAGCAGCCTTTAGACTCTAGACTTAATGCAATGACAGCCTGCATTGTGTTCGTGGAAGAGTGTCCAAGCGCAACTGAGGCTTGCGCTGCGCAAATGCTGCGATGCCAGAGGGCGGAAGCAGACGGTGTCCAAAGTGCCAGATGGAGGTGGGGCTTTTGTCCAGACCTGCATTTCGTAAGCAGAACCGCGCATTGATCGGAATGTGCCTTACAGACGCCGTGCTTTCACATGTTGACATATATGCCCACCACACTAGTAGCTGACACGACATGTGATGGTGTTGCATCCTGTTAGCATGTTGAACGGCAAGGGCTGCCAAGTGTCCCCACATGGATCCTGAGCAGCCCATGTCTGTCATCGTGTTCAGACGTTTGGCCCCAGCCAGCCCGCGGGCATTCATGAACCAAGCACATGGAAGGCAGCCGTTAAGATAGAATAGGGTAGCCAAGTTGGTGCTCAATCTCAGAGGTTTCAAGGCCCCGAGGGCTGAAGGCACAAAGATGGTTCCCTATTTATAGTATTGGTTAGCCTTTTTTGAGCGCCTGCGACGTGCAACCAAACACTTCTGCAGCAAACAAGCCCGCGCAGCGGCCAAACATTGCTATAAATGTAAATCCTGTCGACGGCTTTGGTCAGGTTACACGGGTACCACATCGTCAGTCACCGGTATGCTGCAAGGAATCATACAGCAGACATTGGCACTTTGGTGCAGCTTTCTAAGTGCAGCATTCCGTTCTTAACAGCGCGCCATGGCTCAAGCTCAACAGGAGGACCTGCAGAGTGATTGCCATATTCTCTTGAACCTAGGGGAGTAGGTGAGGTGCCATGGTGGACTTCACGATAAGGAGCCATGTTAGGAACTTCATGGAGACCAGGAAGTTCCTCGGGCGGGTCCCGCATGGTCCCGCCAGTCTGCTAGGCAGTGTCTCACTAAAGCTGGCCTCGCTAAGTAGTGTATGTCTTGTGGAAGAGAAAACAAAAACCGTTGGAAAATTGTAGACCAATCCCGAAATTTGAGCTGCAGGCCGTTTCTTTCCTGTAACAACTATGGACATTGAGCGCAGCTGCCAATCCGGCAGAAGACACAGGACCGGCAGCAGAACCTGAAATTTGACCTTGGAGATGACGAAGGCGCAAAAGGTGAGGAGCAGCTCGGCACGAAAGTTGATCGTCGAAAAGTTTTGGGTCTTTTTGTTGTGAGACAGTCCTTTTTGGCGCTTGGCCCTCGGCCCGGGGTCTCAGGCCAACCATTGAGTGAACCACCCTCCTTGCAGTACAGCATTCCATCAAGAGGGAAGCAGAAGGAAAGTGGTGTTTTGAATGTCTGCGTGTCCCGATGCTCATTCCAACCACACTCTCTTGCTGCCTTGGCTTGGATGAGGTTTGGCTTCCGCAAAGAGGTGGTGAAGCTGCGGTCCTTCATTGACAGCCGGTTTGCAAAGCAAACGCGGATGTTGGAGCTGATGTCAACCCAGTTGAAGCCGCTCGGTCTGCCCAAGACATTCTCGGTTGCCGTTTCCGTCAGTGAGAAATACTGCAGCCCAAGGTTAATGCAACAATTTCCGCATGGAAGCACAGTCGCCAACGAAGCGAACGTGGATGAACAAGCTGCAGCTGACGTGCTTGAGGACGTTTTGCCAAGTGCTTGGTTGACAGGGCATGTTCCGAATATGCTGACGCAGCAAGAGTGTTTGTATCGCGTGTGCAGCCATGCGTTGCTTGCGTTGTTGCGCTTGTGTTTGAAGAACATGGTAATCCGATTGCTTAGACCTGGTATGTCGAGCATGTGAGACATGTTGATTAGTGTTTCAAGATTGACCCCCGCTCGTCCTTTGTCCTGGGTCAGGAATCCAGGCGCGAAGATCAGGCTCCACGCTCTCCACGCGCCTTAGATGAAGGAAGCTGCACGGCAATCCCGCTCCGCGCTGCACGATGCAGGGCGGACAAAAAGTGCAGGCACCAGACAGCCACAGCCAGGCACCCTCTTTTGCATGCACACGCACGCAGACAACAAGAAGAAGGCATTGCTTGCAAACTATTTCATCCAGTGAGCGCGTCTGCGAGGGTCAGCTGGGGCTGCTTGTCTCAGGTGCACCGATCACGCTGGACAGGCACACCGAAGCAGTCTGGCAGTTTAGGGCAGAGCATGGCAGAGCTGGGACTGTGGGTTCAAGGTCGCTGCTGTAGCTTGGGGGCTAACGTTTGAAAATTTGGTAGGTGTGGAGTGTGGAGGGCATGTTGGAACCTGTGCCGAACCTCTGCCCCATGCAATATTCAATGGGGAGTTGTGGGTCAGAGGCAAACAGTGAACAATTACCATGTTGCGCCGTGTCTATAGCTTGGCGCAAAACACATCATGCATCAACTTCAGCTGTCAAGCCTTTCGCACAGAAAGCAAATCCAACGTCGTACCCAGCCCACACAGCAGGTCGCAGTCTGAGTTGACAGTGATGAGTTCGAAGCCTTCGGAAGATGACCAGAAAGACAGGCCGATCCGAGCGTTAAACCCAGACTGAAACCTCCAAACAGGCTCTAAACTATCCATGCTTCATCGATAGGCCGGGAGCTCTCAGCCGCGGAAGCTCCAAGCAGCAAGGGCCTCAGATTGCAAAGACATGCAGAGACGCAGCATGGAGGACAGGAAGGGATTACACCAAAGGGTTTTCAATGCAGCAGGCAAAGCCAGACTTTCAAGGTTTGTTTTAGGAAGGCGCACATGATACCGGTTGCGCAAGCTCAGGTCTTTCGTACGCACATCCTTGAGAGAGCAGCAGAAAAAGGCAGAGGCGGATGGCAGACTTTTTGACAAACTGCCTGTTAGAATGGAAAGGCATGTCCTGCATCCAAACACAGCAAGCCATGCCACTCAGAGTTGGATCATCTAGCTGCGTGCCTCCCGCTGGGTGGAAGGAAGTAGTCGCGCAATCTGCCAGCACATTCACAAGCTCCTTGGCTAGCACGCCTGGGCTAATTTGCCAGACAGAAAACGAGCAGTTCAATGATGAATAGGTACTTGCAATATGCAGGTATTCTGGGTGTGCCGCAGTGGTTTTAGCAGAAGGGTGGTGCGATGATAGGGAGAAGCATCCCACTGTCATGCCCTGTGGGACGGTCGTAATGCGGGAGTTGTCCTGAGCTGCACTGAAGTCTAACAGGCGCACACAGAATACAAAGATTCTGAGGCCATCTCAGAAGGATGAACACCATTGAGCAGGAGCCTCGCCTCCAATTCTGTGATCCCAATGCTCTGAGGTTGAACAGCAGTTTAAAAAGCTTGTTACGGGTCGCGCACTTGTTACATAGCGCAGAATCTGTCTGGCTGGTGGCTCCAGGGAGAGAGTAAGAGAGTCCTGTCACTGTTGCAGCGTTGCAGCGAGGACATGTTTGGTAGCGGCCCTTTTCGAATCTTTTGCCTCCGCGTGGTGACGCACCCCATGTTCACCAATTGCGGCTGGGACACACAGAAGAGTGCAAAGGCATTGCAAGGCCTTGTGCAAGGCGGAGCCACCCAGAAGAGGTTTGAGATGTCGCATGCACAGGTCCCTGTCTTTAGCTCCGAGTAGTCAGTGCTGAAGCACACAGGTCGCCACATGATCAACACAGAATGCATGCTTTGTGCGTAATTGGGCACATGGCAGTAGGAAACTACTTGCCCGCTGGGAATGTACATCTATATATATATGCACCATGTCCTTTGCTTCTTTTAGAACGCAAAGCGTGGAACCTAGGCATCATGTGTTTGATCCTGGTGAACCTGATCCTGCCACTTGGCCGGTAGCCGGGAACCACTTGTTTCGATTCCTTCGTGTCTCCAGACTATCTAGATGTCAGAGCACAACTGGAAGTGAGCTAATTGAGCTCAGGCTTGGCGTGGAGGTCGATGTGGCGGCGGGCGTGGGCCAAGAGGCAGCCTGGCAGAATCTGGCAGATGCTAGCTCCAGAGCTCTCAGGGCTCTCACGCCGCATACGTCGCGGCACGGTCTTCTTCCGTAGGTTGGGTATTGCCGATTGGAGCCATTGGAGCATTGAAAATTTGAGCGCGATGTTCACATTTTGGCCGCACTCAAATCTTGTCAACATCCCTGCTAGCCCAGGACGTTCCCAAAATCTATGGCGTCATCAACTCCATGATCGTTTGCGTATTCCTGATTGCCACTGGACATGGATTGGCTGACTCGGGCCTGAGATGCGAAGAGGTTTGCTATAGGCATCCCCAGGCAGAGTTCATAACCCCCTGCAAGATGTGCCAGTCATTGCTGCATGCTGTGCAGAGGGTCCTGCGATAAAGGAGTTCATCCTCAAACTCTTCTCGTTTGGCTGTTCGGGCTTCTTTTGTGGCCGTGATGCCTTCTGGACTCTTGGACTGCACTTGACTAGCTCCGCCTCAATATAGCTGATCACAGAAGATCACAAGACAGATGTCCTGAACTGTTCTGTTACATAATGATATGAGCTACCGGTATGGTCTAAACTCCTCAAGGGGGGTTATGTAGAGGAGCATTATAAGGGTTATTAAGGAGGATACTTTATGGCTCAGATGAAACTTGTACTCAAGCCTGCAAAGAGCGGGCCCCCCCAGAATGTACCTTTCCAAAGTTGTGGCATCTCCTAATGTCGCCCCGGAACATTCGAGAAGGATGGTTTAGCGCGCCTGCATGCACAGGATTCAAGATAGGACAGGTGTCTTGGGGGTGGTCTCACTATTAAGGCAGTACCGCGCATGAGTGCGGCAGCAAGACCTTAGCGAGTCCTACGTTTCTTCACAGCGGCTAGCAACGGTAGCCTGAGAATCTTACATCCAGCCAGAAGCGCAGAGCTGCATTAATATGCGGATCAGCAGGCAGCAAAATTTCAGAACGCCCCATGTTGCACCGAATCATTTAGAAGGCGGAGACATAAGATCTGTGCTCTTGATTTCTGAGGCGCTCCGCTCCCCCTCAACCTGCATGAAAAGCAAATGAGAAGAAGGATTCTCCAGCATGATAACTGACCAGGCGAAATCAGAAAATGAAGGCAACAGCAAGAACACAAAGTAAGAGCGTATGAGTAAGACGTGCTGATTCTGCAGCGAGGTCACGGCATCTTTTTCTTGCTTAACAGAGTGGGTTTGGTTGTTCACATGTTGTCCTGTCCTTGGGAGGATACA